AAAAAAAAAAAAAGTTGGAGAATGCTTTCTTGAGTAAGTAATTTGCATTCTGAGATCTGAATGATGATAACAGTTAAGAAGCAAAGAGAACAATAACAAGTGAGAAACTTCATAGCAAAATGGATGACAGAACATTAGAGGAATGAAAAGAAGGCCTATATAGTTTGAAGGAGATGAAGCTGGAGAAATAAGGATAAGAACAAGTAGGATCTTTGTTACCTAAATTAAGCAATGTTGGTCTGTATCCTAAAAATGATGGGAATCCCTAAAGGGTTTTATACAGATTTTTTTGTTGTTATAGTGACAAATATATAACTACCACTTTTCAGAACTTCTTTGAAGAGTTAAGGAAGTTGTATATACTCTAAACAAAAATTCTATACCTATTAAATAAATGACACTTCATTTCTTTCTTGTCCCTAATAATCTCCATTGTACTATCGCCATGAAATTTTTAATTCGGCTGTTGCCATTACCCACCTACTGCCATCAAGTTGATTCCAACTCTTACTGACCCTACAGAACTGCTCCTTAGGGTTTCTGAGGCTATAAATTTTTATGAGAGCAAATCTTTCTCCTTTGGAACAGCTGGTGGTTTTGAACTGCTGACCTTGTGTCTAGCAGTCTAATGCTTAACCCATTGTGCCACTAGAGTTCCTTGTTACCATTAGCTGCTCTCAAGTCAGCCCATGACTCATGATAACCCTATTCACAAATGAAAGAAAAGCTGCTTGTTCTTGTATCATGCCCATGAGTGGCTGTGAATTGGACCCTTGTGATCTACTAGTTTTTCATGAACTGGCTATTCTTTCATTTATTCCTCCATTAAACATTTAGATGTCTACTGTTAGCTAAAGGAGCTCTGGTAGCGTAGTGGTTACGAATAGGGCTGCGAACCCGAAGGTCAGCAGTTCGAAACTACCAGCTGCTCCGCGGGAGAAAGATGAGGCGATCTGCTCCTGTAAAGATTTACAGCCTCGGAAACCCTATTCAGGGTCGCTATGGGTCGAAACCGACTCGACGGCACTTAACAACAACAACAACTGTTAGCTAACCCATTGCCACTGTGTCAATTTCAACCAATACGACCCCATAGGTAGAAATATCCCATAGTGCTCTAAGGCCACAAATTTTGATAGAAGCAGACTTATTGCCTCATCGTTCTACTAAGGAGCAGCTGATGGGTTCGAACTGGTGACCTTTCAATTAGCAGCCAAGTGATCAGTAAATGATACTAAGAAGACAGAGATGAATAGACACTGCCCTGCTACTAAGGTTCTGAGTCTAGGAGGGCAGAAAGACATTTAATCAACTTGATAATTATCCTATGTGATAAGTGGGGCAAGACAAAAAAAGTACAATATGAAGGATAAAAAAAGCCCAAACTCTACATGGTGAGGAAAGGCTTCACAGGGAAATAATTTCTGAAGTGAATTTAAAAGATGAAAAGATTGCAAATCAATACATGGAACAGGAGAGTTCTAGGTTGAGGAATTGGGACTATTCAAAGAAATTTAAAAGCAGTTCAGTATCGCAGCACAAAATAGAGGGCAAGGAAATGAATCTGATGAATTATTCAACGATCATAAAGGTTTCTGTATGCTACGTTATACAGGATAGAATTTAGTTACTGTACACAGTAAAAACAACTGTAAAGATTTTTACAGGGGAGAAATTTATCAGACTTATGTACTAATTTTTTACTAAACAAATTGTGAATAAATTCAAACATTTATAAATCTAAAGAAATAAAAAATATATGTATGCCTTTTGTTAAGTGCTGTCAAGTCTGTTCGAACTCATAATGACCCTGTATAGTTTCCGAGAAGCAGCTAGTAAGCTTGAACCGCGGACCTAGTGGTTCAAACCGAGCTTGCAATCCAGTGCATTTACACGCAGCGCCACACCAGGACGTCATGCCTTTTAAAAGTGCATTTTATCTTGCACAATATAGTCTGTTTTTAATAAACAATTAATACCAAAGATCCTAAAATGTAAAACGAAAGTTCTTTTTTTTTTTTTTTATTGTGTCAAAATATTTACATATGGCAAAAAAACTTTTTAAATCCCTCCAGCAAAAGTAGACCAATTTTTTCCTAAGGACTCCTATACAGTTGTGGCTTATTCTTTTCGAAAACCTCTCAACTACGATTTCCATACTCAATATTCTTATACAAGATTCTCAGCACTATCTTGAACCAGCATCTTTCTTGTTGTTGTTGTTATGTGCCGTGGAGTCGGTTCTGGCTCATTGCGACCCTGTACAGGGTTTTCAAGGCTGTACTTCTTTACCGGAGCAGAAAGCCTCATCTTTCTCCCGCGAAACAGCTGGTAGTTTCTAACTGCTGACCTTGCGGTTCGCAGCCCGATTCGTAACACTACTCTACCAGAGCTCCTTAGCATCTTTCTTGGCATTGCCTAAAGTCAAGTTTATTTTATCTTTTCCAAACTAGGCTCCAGCTTCAAAACCTTTTAAGTTCTCTAATGCTCTAATTCTAAAATGTTCATCATTTCACTACTACAGTATGTCTATGTTCAGTACTACCACCCCAAACCACACCATCACTAGAAACTTGAACAATGTTGATCAGTCTGGTCTTAGGAACACTCTGCTTTCTCAAAACCTACACAGGATTGCAGTAATTTCCTCCCATATCCTTTGGTAGCGTAGTGGTTACGAATAGGGCTGCGAACCTTAAGGTCAGCGGTTCGAAACTACCAGCCGCTCCGCGGAAGAAAGACGAGGCTTTCTACTCCCGTAAGGATTTACATCCTCGGAAACCCTGTACAGGGTCGCTATGGGTCGGAACCGACTCGACGGCACTTACAACAACAACAAGTTCAACTGTGCCTTATTACCAAGGTAAATGACTTCACACCAGGGCCTCCCTCTCATGACATAAGGGTACGTATAACACAAGTAATGCAGACTCAAAAGGTCATAAATTCAATTAGCACTTTTTGTTCCTATTCCCCCTTCTTCTGAAAGTGCAAAAGAGAGCAGCTAAAACTGGAATCCAGAAGAGGAAATTCCACTTCCGACTGCCACGCTACAGCGCGAAACCCAAAAGGCCCTCTGGCCCTTCAGCAAGGCAATTGAAAATTGGGAGGAGACGTCAGGGCCTCTTGGCTAATGCCCAAGGGCAAAGTTGCACACAAAAAAATTGCTCTGAAGAAACAGTATGCCTCGCTCGTCCAAAACTCACCCGCCAAGAGTGGTGTGGACGGCGCCATCTTGTCCCGGAAAAAGAAACTCACGCGTTCGGGTCAGAGTTCACGAGGGCCGAACCCAACCCCTACACGTCTCCTCAGGCGTGGAACTGCGAGTTGGTACATCCGGGGCTACTAACCTCGGGGCCAATGTAGTTCCGGTTTGGAGAAAAGCGACAAGGAGTCTGGAAAGCGCACGCGCAGCTTTGGGACTACGCTATATAGGTCTAATTCTTTGCTTTCCCCAGCGGGCGGAACTTGTACTCTGGCTGTGTGCCCGCCTACTCTCTAATTCTTTGCTTTCCCCAGCGGGCGGAGCCTGTGCTTCCGCGGGCCTGAGCCCGCCCTGTGCTGACGTTGGCACCCGAACCCGAAATAGTTCGAGGCGGCAGGCTGCACCGTCCGGTTGTTGCGTTGCTCTTCCTTCCTTTTTCGCTCCACGCTCCCGGCGGCGGCGGCGCGGGAAGGTGCCAGCGGCCTGCTTTATTTCTTCCGCGGGTCTGCCCCACTCAGCCGGTCAGTCCGGCGTGGTCAGCCAGTCGGCGACCCGCACCCCTTAGTGCTCAGACCCCCGGGCGCCGCGCCCAGGCCCAGCGGCCAGAGCTCGCGCCCCGCCTGAGAGAGCCTCTTCGCTTCGGCGGTCTTCGCTCCAGCGGCGTAGACTCCACAAGCGAAGCCTCGCTGGGACCCGAGTAGGACAAGCGAGTCAGTCCGAGGGGTGGCCGGGGCAGGTGGTGGCGCCGCGAAGATGGTCGCCAAACAGCGGATCCGTATGGCCAACGAGAAACACAGCAAGAATATCACCCAGCGCGGCAACGTAGCCAAGACCTCGGTAAGGGACGTGAGCGCTCCACTCCGCTCCGCAGCCGGGCTCAGGCCCGGGCTCCGGGCCGCTCCGGCGGACCTCGGGGCCGTGGAGGGTGGGGGCCCTAGCCTACGAGCCGGCTGCCAAGCAAGGGGCCCGACCAAGGGGTCGGAGCTGGGAAGCTCGAGTGGAGAGATTTAAGAGGTTAGGGGACCCGGCAACCGCCCCGGGTGCAGGCTGTGGTGTCCGGGGCTGAGTGGTTTTTGCGCCTCTGTAATGGTGCATTTATCCTTTTTCAGAGAAATGCCCCCGAAGAAAAGGCGTCTGTAGGACCCTGGTTATTGGCTCTCTTCATTTTTGTTGTTTGTGGCTCTGGTAAGTGTGTTTTGGGGGTTCCCACCGGGTGGTAGGGTGTGGGTGCCGGGTTAGGATGACGTGGTAACCTATCAGTGGTGAGTCCTCCCGGCGTACTTCCCAACCCACCTGCAGCGAGCTTCACAGAATCCAGTTTCATCAGAACCACACGTTATTTGTCCGGCGTATGCACAGAGGATCGGGCTACAGAAACTTCGCCCAGTTTGATGTGTGCACACAGATCACAAAGGAGGTCAGACTCCTGGTGATAGTCACATTGGACGAAATTTAAGAATGAAAAAGTCAAACACTCAGGATGAGAATTTAGAATGTTTTGGAACCTCATTATCAAGTGCCTTTGCAAAGAAGTTGTTTATAAAGTTAAAGTGCATGTTCAGGAACTCGATTTAGCATCTGCCAGAATCCAATGTCTTAAGTCAAAACTGGATAATAAAATATTTATTAAATAAATCTGGTGCAGAGAGTTGACTCATTGTAAAGGAAATGTATCTGATTTTCAGTTTAGTGCGTGCAGGAAATGTCTTTAGGTTCTTTAAAGTTTGACATATGGTAGGAAACACTAGGGCAGCCTGCTGCAAGAGAATGGATTTTTGCCTTTACTTTCCCCTCTTGATATGTTACATTAATACACAAACTGTTGGTATAGAAGATGTTTCTGTTTTCCACATTTCTGATGATCTAAAGTTACTGAAAATTGTATTTAATCGTTCTCTTCACCTTTCTCCTGAATGCACCAGTGGGAAGCTTTTCTGACAGGTGGCTAAGAGCCAAGCGATTTATATAACCTAAAGATTATTAAATTTCATTCAACCCTGTGAGAACACGGAAACTTGCATATATTCTGAGCCAGATCTTAAAAGGACACTAAATTATTGAGGGATAAGCCTAAATAATTCTATACTAGAAAAACCTGTTTTCTTTGGTGCATTAAGTTTTTCCTGAAATGTGCTAGCTGTAATCTTTGTGGATACTTAAAATGTAACGTTCTGAGAAGCAGAGATTTTGAAAGAATAATTGGGCATTTTCTTGTTCACAATTAAGGTAGGCTTGTCTTCCCTTATTACAATGAAGTTATATAGCATTCTGAACTATATTAATATTTGCCAATCATCATTTTATTTTAAGCTTGTTTTAATGTTTCATCTTTCTCTTTACAGCAATTTTCCAGATTATTCAAAGTATCAGGATGGGCATGTGAAGTGATTGAACCTTAAGATGTTTCCATTCTCCTGTGAATTATAACTTGAACTCATTCCTGATGTTTGATACCCTGGTTAAAAACGATTAAGTAAAGCATCCTGCCTCAGAATGACTTTTCATATCATCCTTCATGTGTCATTCCAAGGTTTCTTCATGAATCATTCCAAGTTTTCTAGTCCATACCACAGTGCCTTGCAAAAGCACCACATGAATAAAGCAATAAAATTTGATTGTTATGCTACAGTAGTGGACCTTACTTATTCAGTCAGTAAAAAGTAAGTTTTTCTATGTGGTTGTTAAAACTGTATGCAGTATGAATAATTAGATCAAATCTATGTAGACAGGGTCTAGATTTTGTTAACCCTAATGTGTAATGCAATTAGCTTATTTAAAAATTTGGAATCTGGTTTTTATATAGCTAGGCACTTTATTACCACTATCTCTTGAAAGCACACTCCCATATAGGATCATGTAACTGTCCTGTAATAGTGCTTATAAATGGAACAACTATACAGTTAGCCTAGTTACCACAATCCTTAGCACCTAAATATTTTTAAAGGCTTCTAAATGCCTAATGTAAAGGGAGATGCTTATAGCCACAATATCTGTTTTAACAATATTGTTTCTATTAAACTACCTTGGATTTTGCATGAGTGAATATACTAATCTAAGATGCCATAAAAAAAAATAAAACAAACTTGGTTGAGCATTTTGTAATTTAGTCATTGCAGATTCACTAAAAGCTACTATGATGGAGTGGAGTCAGGGAACATTTGTTTATATCATCAAATTCACCAGAATTAATTTATCAAAAGGGTTTACTATGCTAGACAAAATTTTAGGTAAAAATGCTACTAGAAATGAATGCCTCATTAGGACATGCTATTAAGTCCAATGTGTCATAAGACATCTTAGCATGTTAATAGCACTTTTAATACCAAAAAAGGCACATCTACAAAATTAAAAGTTACATTTAGTTTGGAAATGCCTTGTAAAATGCTAATGCATTCTAGATAATCAGGCTAGAATAACATTTGGAATTAAAACGGATTTACTGATAATGATAAGGATCAGTCTTCAGTCTTCCTTTTGTTGTGTGATTTTATAGGTTATAACTAGTTTCTCTTTTTAATTAATGGTAGGGATAAGAGTGGTGTAAGGCAGGTTTTGGGTTTTCAAGTACTTTTGAAAAACTGCAAGTATTGGTAATTCATATACTTAGGTATAATTTGGTGAAAAAACCTGAAAGGTGCCTACGTATTAATTAATTGAAAAGAAAGCTGCTTCTGTTTGCTTTGTTAATTGCCTCAGGATATCTCTTTAAAAAATAAGCTGTTTTAAGAGGAACAGAAGGGAAATCTACCTAGTATATACACAGTATGAACCTCATAGAGAGCTGGTACCCCTGAGTATGGGGGACTTTAGGGGGAGGGAGGAGGAGTGGTTAAGAAAGTTTAGGACTTTGACTCCTCAGGTTGGCTAAGCTGCTCATAATGAAGGAATTGGAAAGGAATCAGCTGACCTTAGGCCAGCAGGTTTTTTTAAACTGCATTGTTACCTGCCTTTGTCACGAGTAAATCAACCCCTTGTACTTATTTCCTACCTTGAAACAGTTGTCTTGATTAATTCTATTTTATTTTTAATAACTTCAAAAATGAAAGTTAATTGCTCTAAGTTCATAGCAGGTGCCTTAATGTTTGCTTTAAGTCAAGCCATTCCATATCAGAATTTCTCTTGATTTACTATTAAGAAATTGGCTTTAAAATGTTAGGGTTTTTTTTTTTTTTTTAATGTACAATGTCTTGGTTAATTTGACTGTTAAAGTTGCTATAGATGGCAATCTTTACATAATGTAAAATTCATTCCCTTTGTATTTCATATGTGATTTTCCAATTGAGTACATTTTATATTAAGGATGGATTATGCATGTTTGGGTAAATGAAAGCTATGTCTTAACTTGATTTGTCCTTAAAAAATAAAGTTCATTGAATATTTGATTGATTTCTTCTAAAAGAAGGATTTTCACAGTTCTTATTATCTGAGTGTATTTTTTATAGTTAATGAAAAATGAATTTTTAAATGGCTCATATTATGTTCTTGAATTAAAAGTATCCAGAGGCACAGATGTAAGGTTTATAGATATGAGATTAATAACAAGAAAAATGCACTATGAATTAAATATTTCTCTACCTAGGATTTACTCTCATCTCATTATTATCCAAATCTGGTTCAAGAAAACAACTCTTGCTTAATCACCCACACCCAGTTGAATGGAGGCCTGGTATTGTGTTGCATGTAGAATAAGCACTGGACTGCTACCTCAAGGTCGGCAGTTCAAACCTACCTCCTGCTCCTTGGAAACTCTTTACAGGGTCCTTATGAGTCAAACCTACTCCGTGGCACTTAATACACGTTGAACACTGTATAAAAAGAAATACTTCATTGTAGTCTGCGTTATCCAGTTAATCTTTGTGATTTAACGATAACCTTTTGGGGGTCGTCAGTTATTGTATGTGCTGCTTTGCATAATATTGCTCAAAATAATTGGACTTTCAAAATAAGTCATTTTCATTGTAATTGCAATGGCTTTGAAGTACATTAAATGTTTGTACTCAACTGTACAGTGGCTCTGCTCACTGATGTTAACTGAGTTCTGTTGGCTTAAAGGACTGCCATTCAGAACTAGATTATTTTAGGCTTAGTAACAGGTTCATCAAAAGACTGCTTTTGCATCTATAATATTTAGAACATTATTTAATGCCTCATTTTAGACATTGTCCTGAAGTATGACTTAACCTCTACCTACCTTTTTAATTGATACTTTAATTCATTGTTTTTGAAGCAAACAGCTTTCAAGAGGAAGAGTTAACTGCAACAAATAATCACTCCTTCAGAGAGTCATTCCCTTTTACCCTAGCACACTTCAGTGCTTATACTGTTTTATCTTCAAGTTGGATGAAAGCACAAATGCCCTAATTTGGAAAGAATACTATTAGGTAAAGGAAAGGAGTACTAAGGCAAAAGGAAAAATAGCTCTGAATTTAGGTAACTTTTATAAAAGAATCATAAAATCAAAAGGGACAACTTAGTCCAACTGTCTCAATTTATAGAAAAATAAAAACAGTCATTCAATGGATATTAAGTCACCTATGTGCAAGGTGTAGAGAATGCAGATACAGTCCCAAGACACAAGGATCTTTCCAATAAGAAGCATTAGCAATACAATGAAAATGTGGCCTTATTTGTGATACGAGTTTCAAAGAGAAAGTAAAACTAGAGTAATGGTGTCTTTGCTGTCACAGCTTGTTGAGCTAGAGTAGAAAGTAGAATCCAGATTTCCTTGTTCACTGTACTTTAAAGGAGTGCTTGTGTGGGACAAAGGGTTAACGAACTTAAGAACTGAAAGGTTAGAAGTTCAAATCCATGAAGGGGTGCTTAGGAAGAAAGACCTGGTAATCGATCTGAAAACTCAGTCACTGAAGACATTGTACTGACATGGGTTTGCCATGAATTGGAGTTGACAGCAACTGGTGGTGGTGGTACCCTGTTGAAATTTAGGAATAATTACAAAACTTTCACAAAGAACACTTCTGTTTTCATGGGATAATCTTGGCTTCTGCATATAGAAAAGTTCTTTGTTTTTTCTTCATTGCCAATTTAAAGAAGAAAGAAAAAAGGACTTCTCCTTTTCTGAATACTTTCCCTTTTTTTGGATGAACTTATGTGATCAATTTAACACTGACATTTCCTGTGTAGCCCAAAAACTGCATGGATCAAATCAGTAATATCCACTGTGACATTCAAGTGTAGCTGGATTGGCAAAAGTTGTATACTAGATATACAGGCTTACTTTGGGGATCTTGTATGTTCAGTTCCAGACCAGTGCAATAAACCAAATAATGCAGTAAAATGAGTCATGATTTTTTTGTTTCCCAGTACTCATAAATAATAATTTGTGTTCATACTGTACTATAGTCTATTACTGCAATAGGAGACCTGGTGTGGTGCTGTAGGATAAGCACTGGACCACAAGGTCGGTTTGAACAGCAAGTCAGCAGTTCAAACCCACAGGCTGCTCTTCAGAAACCCTACACAGGGTCACCGTGAGTTGGAACTGACTCCATGGCACTAAACAACAGCATTTTGAAAGAGTTTGAAATACGAGAATTACCAAATGAGACAGACATGAGGTGAGCACATGCTTTTGGGGAAATGGCACTGTTTGCTGGATTTAGGATTGCTACAAACCTTCAATATGGAAAGAACACAATAGCTGCAAAGTACACTAAAGTGGAGTACAATAAAACAAAGTATGCCTGCATTTACATCAATAGCAAAGAAAAATAGTAGTTGCTGAAGTTGCTTATATGCAAATATCTCATGGAATTTAGTTTCTTGATTTGAAGGTTTAGAGCCATAGTTTTATGGGACATCTCAATTAATTGGCCTAATAATGTTTTTAGTGCTTCTGTTCTACCTCCTAGTTCCGTTGCTTAGTTCCTTGGGTCTTAAAACTTTGCAATCTGCCATTTAAGGCAGAACAATTGGCCTCTGCCAATTGTAACAGAGGAGGAAGGAATAAAAAGAGGATAAGGACTATGTAGTTAATTGCATCCAGGAACAACTGCCTCCTTTGCCTGAGACCAGAGACCTGGCTGGTGTCTTGCTACCATTACTACGAATTTTAATAAAAGATTCCAGAGACTTCTGAACAAAAGGGAGACAGTGGAGAACAGAATTTCAAATTCCCATGGAATCCAGACTGGACTATAGTTTCAGGGATTCACTATAGAAGGTGGCAAACCCCTGAAACTATTGCCCTCACATTATCTTTAAACCTTCAACTAAAAATATCCCCTGAAGTCATCTTAAAACTGAACAATAACTGCTTGTTGTTAAGTGCTGTCCAGCCGGTTCCGACCCATAGCGACCCTGTACAGGGTTTCCGTGGCTGTAAATCTTTATCGGAGCAGAAAGCCTCATCTTTCTCCCATGGAACAGCTGGTAGTTTTGAACTGCTGACCTTGTGGTTCGCAGCCCGATTTGTAACCACTACGCTACCAGAACAATAGCTTAACACGTGAAAAAGCACTATGTTCTTTCAAGTATTATTTATGTAGATCAAATTGACAACAGTAACACAAAAGATCAGTTTGTCAGTGAGGGAGGAACTACTTAGAAAAGTAGGAATAGTTGT